CACATGTAGTGTCACGTCCTGAAGCTCTGAAGAACATGTCCATGCAAAGCCCTATGGCCCTGTTCAAGATGGTATGCCGGAGGAATGTTTGTCCACTAAGCACAGTGCTGTCTTCGCACGCTCATCTTTTGTCAAGCCAAGCAGCTAAGATCATGGTAATATAGCATCCGGATGGCAGTCGCGCCATAAGAGCATGCACTTCGTCCTGGCGGGTTACAGATTCGCTCTAGCTCGGCAACTATATTGAGCACATAACCGATTGGATTGGAGGCCTGACTTGACGAGTAGTACAATGAGGAAACAGGCCTGCGATGAACTGTAAGTGCAATTACGACTGCGATGACTACTGCCGCAACAACTCAACCAAACCGCTAACGCAAGAACATGCCCCCACTGCCTCCCGCTTGATCCCGCCTGTCTACTCGCGGGTTGCACATACATCTGATTTCTCTCTGTACTGAGACTTGCGCATGCTTGGCAGATTCAGATTTTTTTCGTCAGCATGCATGAACTTACATGACACGATGGTATGGCTTCGGGTTCTATCTCTGAGACTACTTGTGCCCCAACATGTACTTCGCAGTGGGTGGTGGTGGCGTTGACATGACAATGGTGGCGCCTTTCCTAGTTACGGAGTTCTAGACCCTAAACCCTAAACCTAAACCCTAAACCCCGGACTCTTAAGGGTTGAAGTTTCCACTGCCCCGAAACCCGGCGCACCCGCAGAATCAAGGCTGAGCTGTCGCGGTAGTCGACAGGCACAAGAGCTTCCTGTTAAGGGATTGTTGCGCTTTGTGGCTTTGGGGCTTGGGGCTCTAACTTGCTTCCCTGAGAAATATACGTACTATGTATATATATATATATACATATGCATATATATATATATACATATGTATATATACATATTCATATATATATATATATATATATTCATATATATATATATATACACACACTATATTATATACCCTTCCTTGTCACACTGTCTTGCTTGGTGCACGGCCCCTTCTCCCCCCTCCCCCCCACTGCAACCTCCAGCTCTCTCTCGTTCGTCCGCACCTGGCAGTTGACCCACAGAGAAGAGTTTGGGGACTAGGGTCTATAGGGTTTCCTTCGCGGGTTTAGGGTGTAGGGCTTTTTTCTTGGCGGGCGAGGGGTTTCGGGGTTTAGGGTTGCAACCCTCAGCCCTAAACCCATGCACTCACTCAATGATATCATACATATATATATATATATATATATATATATGTGCGTGTGATATACAGATATATAGATAATACATATATATATATATATATATATATTGTATTGCTTTTGAAATGCAGCGGGTCTGCTTTGCGGCTAAAACCCTCTGAGGATCCTCAAACTTGCGACTAGGGCCCATGTCTGTCTGACTCTGCCCTACGCTTCGAGGCCCGCACACACCCCGTACCGTAAGCCACGTATCTGAAACCCTAAACACTGAACCCGGAACCCCTAATAATCCAAAAACCCGAGAACCCTAAACCCAAAACACTGAACCCCAAACCCTGAACCCTTAAGCCTCTCAACCCTCCAGCCCTAAACACCCTGAACCCACTCACCTCCACTGCCTTGGACCGGTCATAAGGCTCAAAACTCCTACGCTCTGAACCCATACGCATCTATGCATGCATGCTTGCATTGTTGCATGAACGCATGGATGGATGGAGGGAGGGAGGGAGGGAGGGATGGACGGATGGATGGACGGATGGACGGATGGATGCATAGTTGCATTGCTGCATGGATGGATGGCTGGCTGGGCGTCTGCCTGGCTGGATGGATGGATGGATATATAAGTGTGTACTGACGTGAAATGCATACATAAAAAACCATATCAAGACAGCAAAATCAAGAAGTATGGAGTTCTCAAAGAAACCATAATAATAATGGAATATTCGGGAGCTCAGGTACAGCCTGAACCCGAACACTCGCGGCTAGGATTTGGGAGACTTCAGCTCTCAGCCAGGGATTCATCCGTGACCCATCCGTAAGCTAAGACTCGACGCGAAGATTGAAACTCTATCTGGGCGTTTCCGAAAATCAGGGGCACCTTATTTTGCGGGGTCCTTATTCTAAGGATCCTACTATTTGAGGTGCTGTATTAGCGTCCCCTACTTTCGGAAACTCCCATGTCTGACAAGACGTATAGTCATGATGCAAGATTACTGTTACTATTACTTACTATTACTGTTACTATTACTATTTCTGTTACTATTACTATTACTGCTACTATTACTATTATGCTCTGAATTGAAACCCACATCCGGTCCACACCTGACATCCGTGCCCTGCGAACACGAAGACGAGGACGTCCCCCGGCTGAGCCTGCCGGCTGCGATGTGTGAGGTAGAAATGTACCGTACTTAAAGGATCATGGGACTTAGTAACTAGGGTTATAATTAAGGTAACCATTATACTTATAACTACTTATAACACGAATTAAGGTACTTATAACCTTATAATTACTAAGTCCCATGATCCTCCAAGTGGTATTCATTCTGGGGCTGGGGTGGTCAGGCTGGTGCCGGCGAGGCACGCCGGCGACGAGCCAACCTCCCAGCTGCGCAAGGATGTTCGCGCGCGTGGGCAGCTGCGCCCCCGACTCTGTGGGCGTGCCATCCTGGGTGCCACACTTCTATTTTTCAGGTTTCTCGTTTTAATGGAATCTCCCTCTTTCTCCAAAAAGAAAGCTCACTCAAGCTGGGTTTAGGGTTTAGGGTTTCGGGTTTAGGGCATGGGGTCAATCAGGATGGCCAGCTCTCTGCTTCAAGCGATTCCTTTGCTCCTAAAACCTCTCGTGCCGATGGCCAGTTGCTACTACGGCTGGGCTGTGAAGTAACTAGGGAGAAAAAGTCGAGTTTTTGTATTTCATATTGTTTCCCTTTTAAGTAGCCGGTCCTCCAAAAAGTCTTATAGCATGGTACTCCAAAACCCAGTACAACTGGCAGAACTTGCAGGGGTTGTGCCCCGAACAGGGATCGAGACACCCATGCTCTGCTGCCAAAGCGCAGGATACTGATCAATCAGCACTCGCGTTTCTTCAAACCTAGGTGGGGCTTTTAGAGCCTTTGAAAAATATTAGTAAATAAGGTCCTCTTAAGCCCAATAAGGGAAAATATAAAATGTCCCAAAGCCCTACCTAGAAACTCGTACGCCTCTTTCAACATCCGCTCCCAATCCAGGCAGTCATTGACCTGAGCTCGGCCAGACTTGAGAGCTTTAGTCCTACTTGTCGGGTATCATGGGGAACTAAAGGCTAGCCTTTTGGGGTATATAGGGATTATAATATAGGGACTATACTACCCAAAAAAGGTTAAAGGTTACCTACACTACTACTAGGTGATGATGTTATCCTGATGCCGATGTCATGATCCGTCGATTCCATCTGGTGAGCCTGGGCCGCCTTTTATAGGAATCCGGGCACCATAGGTCTATGCTTTTATGTGTGTTCGTCGTCTGTCATTTTTCTTGAAGAGTTAGGAATCATCGGAGGTGCTAGGAGGCAATCGGGCAGATAGACAGGAGTGTTGCAGATTATGAGAGGATTGACGCCATCACACCAAACCTACACCCTGAAACCCTAAACCCTAAAACTTCTACCCTAACGCGAAACCCTAAATCCTAAACCCCTGCTCGGTGACGCCATCTGCTCCCAAGGTGCGCAGCCATACAGCTGGTACTCCTGAAGACGTGAGCCAACTTGAAAGAATGGCATGCAGCGCGATGGCTTCCTAGCATGAACATCCTGCTCCACCCATAATATCCCTCCATAACCTTCGCGAATTCAATGACGAAGAATTCTAAACCCTAAACCCTGAACCCTAAAAACCCTCAACCGGATTCTAGACGCTAAACCTGTGCGAAACTCTGAACTGATGCCCAGAAGAGGCAGCTAGACTTAAAGGATCATGGGACATAGTATCTAGGGTTACAATTAAGGTAACTATACTCATAACTACTTATAACCCCAATGAAGGTACTTATAACCTTACTTACTAAGTCCCATGATCCTCCAAGTGTGCTAAGCCGGTCGAATGCGCCTGACTCCCCCCAGCTGTTCACTAAACGGATCAACCAGGCTTCAAACTACCCGTCGAGTTGGTGAATCCCAACACAGATGCCACATTACATACCCTCCGGCTATTAAACTTAAGACTGGCAACACCTCAAGAAGCTACGTGAAGGATCATGGGACTTAGTAACTCGGGTCATAATTCGGGTTACTATACTTGTTGCTACTTATATCCCCAGTTAGGGTACTTATAACCTTACTTACTAAGTCCCAGATCCCCATCATAGAACCCCTATAGATCCCTTTAAGGAACCCGTTCTAGAACCCTATATAGTACCCTTAATAAAACAGGAACCCTACAGCTTACATACTAAGTCCCATGATCCTCCAAGTATGCAAAAAGCCACCACAGCTCAACTCAATTTGCCGCCTGGCCCGGATAGTTCACCCCGACGCAGAGTGCTCGCTTGCCCATGCCGGGCTACAGTGTGCCTTCCTGGGGGCCTTAAAGAGAATAGGGTTTTCAGGCCCACTATAATTACAATAAGGAACCCCCACAATAACATTAGTAATTTTTCAGGCCCCTATAGTACACTAGTACACCTCAAACTGGTTGGCATTGGACGTGTGCTGTGCGATGCTGCAAGTGGGCTGGTAGGGCTCAGTGTACTTGTGACACTGTAACAAGCGGTGTATGGATTGCGTATGCTTGTTTTCTGGACTGACAATCCCTTCTTCCAGAATGCACTTCGGCTCCCAAGGCATGCCTGACTATCAACACATGTCCCCACATGGCTGGGAGCCGCAGGTGCATGGATGGACGTAGGCGCTCTTCCTGCAGCTTGACCTACTCTAACGTACAGCTTATACTATATGATCTTTCATTTATATAGTATAGTTTATGACATATCCTAGACCATACTATGCTATCTGCCGCAGCTAGCCCATGCTGGAATAAGCCGCTGACCGAAATGGAAGATGCATAGGTGTAGTTGTCGGGATCGACGCGGCATAGCATCCTGGGATGATGTCAATGCGTGGATTGGTTAAGGATTTTGCGGGGTTCCGTTCCTAGAGGGTCATACCCTACCCCTATTTTACGGTACCTAGTTTTGTAGATAGGACCTGTTGTATAGGAAAGTAGGTACTCCAAAAGAGTGTATGTTATGACCCTACAGGTCAGGTAAGGCTCCCTGGGGATTTGAGGGTTGCGGGGATGCCTGGACGCACGAGACCAGGCTAAAGGAGCTCAGTGATCGAAGATAAAATCTAGCACCTCAACACTTGAATCGTGTATGAACGTCTAGCCTCTTCACAGAATGTCATATCCTGTCCAGAGGGCATGTCGTCCAGCAAGTGAAGGGACCATTGCCACTGGGCACATTTCTCGCAGGCACTGCTTGCGGCGCTGTAGCTGATGACCTAGGTGGGCATGGCTGCAAATGACTCTCCCAAAGGGTCCAAGTACCATTATAGCAGGTACTTAGTAATTACTTGGTCCCCCAATAGTATCTAATTCCTTACTTACTTACTACTATTACTACTTGGACCCTTAGGGAATGATGATCGACATACTGGCCAGGACTGATGCAGTACATGCTCCTGCATCGAGACAGCGGAGCAACAAGACAAGATAAAATCTCGACTTCGTGGCAGGCAAGGCATGTTGTTCCTGATCCGGCCAGGAGAATGGAAAGGCCAGACTTTGCAATGAGCGCATCTAGCCGTGTGCCCTTCAACGATTGACCAGGACAGCGTCAATCCGATGCGACGAGGACCCTGCACTTGCCTACATCCTATAGGGACAAAACAGGATGGGCATGGTTTCAACTTTTGAGATCTTTTGAGAAGCTCCTAGCTTCTTACCCTAATTACGGAGGTCCAGGGCTTTCCTTAGCTTTCCCTTGGCTCACTGCCTGAAACCTGAAATGGCCCTGAATGCGCATCCATTGTGCGGAAGATACTGGTACTTCAAACCTAATTACCAAAGCCCCACAGCCGTAAACTTTAGGCCCTAAACCTTAAACCCCCACATAAACCCTCAAGCTTTCCCGTCGCCTTCGAAAGTTTCGGGAATCTGAGCACTGGAGCTCCCCGCGTCAGCTGGCAGACGGCGCAGCCGCATTTGCCAGAGGACCTGCTCTTCCGCAAGCCTGCCTTGTAAGCCTACAGCAGAAGCCTGAAAGTTGGAAACCCGATAGCCTCAATCCCTGAGAGCAAAGTATAGGGAATCCCAGCACGATTTGTCCTTAATTAGGTCTCCAACTTTTTGGGGTTTACAATACTTGTCGGGTATCATTGGGAACTAAAGGTTAACCTTTTTGGATATACAGGTTGTATATAGGGACTATACTACCCAAAAAAGGTTAAAGGTTACCTACTCGACTACTAGGTAAGGCAACCCCCCACTCCTAAACCCCAAGCCCTGAGCGTCTCCGCCTCCAAAGCCCACTCCCAGCACGCCGACTTTTCGCACGCGCTGATCGTCGAGTTGAAACAGATCCTGGGTTCTTGCTAAGGGATTTATTTTAGACTTTAAACTACCATAATGGGGATCCATCTGGGTTCTTGCCGAGGGATTCGTTTTAAACTTTAAAATACCATGATAGGGAACTATAGTAAATAATATGGTCCATAATCGGGATCTATAGTAAATATTTAATATGGTCCATAATAGGGATCTAATTATAGTGAATAATATGGTTCCCTTACTATGGTAACTTCAAATTAAACCCCTTCACAAGAACCCAGAGTCCTGGGGTCGTACCGTTGCGCGGCAGGGCGTCGGGTCTGGGATGAGGTGGGGCCTCGGGGGACTTAGTAACTGCTTATTTTAGGGACGGTTTAGGGTTTAGGGTTTAGGGGTTTAGGGTTTAGACTTCTAAGTACCATAACCCCAATTAGGGTCCCTTTTAGGGTACTTATAAGTCTACTTACTACCTACTCACTAATGTTCAGTATTGAAGGTTCAGCTTACCTTTGGTTAGTAGGGAACTAGGATACCCAGTAACCTAAGAATAAAAAGGCCTCTATTTTGGTATGGGGTAACGTTATAAGGAACCTAGGACTACAAAAAGGGAATAAGGGTACTACTGGGCATCCTAGGGAATGGAAGAATGGTAGTAATGGTAGTTATAATTGTACCCCATTCCTCCATTCCCTACTAACCTAAGGTAAGTCAGGAGTTGCAGGAGTATTGGAGTATGTGTCTGCAGTCTCACCTTGTGTTGCACTACTGACCAGTATGTTTGTATGACTTGGATGTATGTGTGTGCGTGTGTGACACATGTACTGCATTGCAGGTGCGGGAAGCGCACGATAGAGTCTGCCAAGAAATGCCTGCCGTCCTGGTGGTGTCCATCTGGTGAACCCGGTACGAAACAGAAAAGTAGGATCAGCTGCCGAGGTGCACGTTGGGATGCACCTGTCGGTCTTCCATTTCTTGCAGGATCGCCAGGGCCTGAAGAGTCTTCAAACGAAGAGATGGAGGCAATTTCAATATCTACGGTCTAGGGTTTAGGGTTTAGGGGTTTAGGGTTTAGGGTCTACTGGGGCGTATGAAGGTCTTGATCATCTTCTACACCTCTTGCATGCCAAGATTCTCACAACTTCATCACAGCTGTTTTGTATGCATGGGAGCAGGCGCAGACTAACGATCCGAGCCTCCGTCTGCCCTGAGAAACCCAGCACGTGGTCCTAACTCCGAAACCCTACTTGGAGGTTCATGGGCAGTTATAAGTTGGGCTATAAGTAGGGTAGCTATACTTAACCCTACTTATAACTACCCATGAACCTCCAAGTAAACCCTAGATCCCACACACCCTGACACCCGAAAGCCCAAACTTTAAACGCTTGAAACCTTAAACCCCAAGCCTTACATCCTTGATAATGCCCAAACCTCAAGCCCTGAAACCCTTACACCCTATACCCCATGATCCCTAATCGCCAAGCCCCAAACCAAAAGTCCTCAAAGCCCCTAAACCTTAAACCCTTCAGCCCTACCTGTAGCCACAAAGTACCTACCTGTTTGGGGGTTCCTCATTATGGTTTCTATCTATCGTTCCTTAAAAAGGTAGGTCTTTTGGGCCGCAGGTACTTAAAGGATCATGGGACTTAGTAACTAGGGTTATAATTAAGGTAACTATACTTATAACTACTTGTAACCCCAATTCAGGTACTTATAACCTTACTTACTACGTCCCATGATCCTCCAAGTACACCTAAAGCTTGAAACCCAGGCCTGCTCCCAGCTCCTGGACATCTCACAGGCCTGCGCATGGCACCCCGAAGAGGATTGCGAGGGCCAAGGGTGTTTAATTAGCAGTTTAGCTTTTTTTTGAAGCGTGATGACTGGACTGTCTACCTATACAGGCAGTTTAGTTTTAGAGTTCAAGGCCTCAGTTTTAGATCTGAAGGGTTTTCGGGCGTAGAGTGAAACGATTTAAAGTTTTAGGGTTTGAGATGCGAAGGTGTGTCAGGCCTGGGGTCGGCCTTTTGGGGCTTAGACTTATGGTGACGAGGTGCTTTGCTGTTCGGGTTCAAACCCCAAACCCTGAACCCCTAAACCCTCCAAGCCCTAGCCTAAACCCCTCAACCCTAGCCGCTCTAGCCTGTGCTTCTTTCAGGCTCAGCCATCAAGGCTCAAGACTAGAGGTCTCAGCCCGATCTCCCCGAATCCTGAACCCTAAGCCACAAGCCATAAACCCCTAAACCCCTAAACTCCAATCCGTAAGTCCTGCCTCATCCCTTCGGACCCAGCAATCTGTCTCACTTCATACGGACATACATCCGTGCATACATACATGCATGCATGCATTCATGCATACATACAGACAGACGTATGTGCGTGCGTGCATGCATGCATATGTGCCCATACATAAGCACAAATGTATCTGTGGATGTACGTGCGTACATACACATCCATATGTATGTGTGCATGTCTGTCTGCATGCATGCATCTATATGTTTGCGTGTATCTTATTAACACATGTAACTATGCAAATATACAGACACAATAAGGTATGCGCCGTAAAGGAAGCGCAGACCCAAGTTGTTGTCTACACTGTGGCCTGACCTCGATCGAATAAATTTGAACACAAGCAGTGAGTGTTGGTATGTAGATAAGACTCATATGGACACTGTGATCTTAAGTGTATGTTACATAAGGTCGAGAAGGCGTACATCTATAGATATGCATGCATGTCTGCATGTGTGCTTGCGCGCGCGGGTGTGTGTGTGTGTGTTTGTGTGTTTGTGTGTTTGTGTGTTTGTGTGTGTGTGTGAGTGTGTGTGTGTGAGTGTGTGTGTGTGTGTGTCTGTGTCCGTGTCCGTGTCCGTGTCTGTGTCTGTGTCTGTGTCTGTGTCTCTGTCTGTGTCTGTGTCTGTGTCTGTGTCTGTGTCTGTGTCTGTGTGTGTGTTGTGTGTGGTGTGTGTGGTGTGTCTATATGGGTGGTGTGTGAGTGTGTGTGGTTTGTGTGTGTGTGTGCGTGTGTGTGTGTGTCTCTGTGTGGCATACACAGAGATTCTGTAGCGATAATATGTTGTCTAATGACAACACGACACCGTGTGTGTATATATATATATGTACATATAATGCGTATGTACACGAATGTAGGCCTTCAGCGCAGAGCCGTATGCTACCACATTCAGGGACACGGAGGCTACCTGCAGGGGGTCGCGTCAGCGCCCTTCACGGAAAGCTAGTTTAGCATAAGGTTTGAGACGGACTCTTGAGCCCTCAAAGTCATCCTAGAAGCGCCAGTGCAGTCGGATGTGAGAGTTTCTGGCCTCGAAGTCAGTGAACCATTCGGACTTGATTTACTGCTGAATTTCTTTAGCTACTGTGTACTACTACTACTACTACTACTACTACTACTACTACTACTACTACTACTGCTACTTCTGCTGCTACTGATACTGAGCGACTTCGTGAAATCGGATTTGAGGGAAGGGCGCCGGTCAAGCCTTATACCTGGCAAGAACACACAGCCGGGAATGCCGGACGCTACGGAAAATGTATGCCTCTGGGCTAAACTAGCTATGATATCATGGCCTCTCTCTTTTTTTTTCTCTCTCTCTCTCTCTCTCTCTCTGTCTCTTTCCTCTCCTGGGAAGGCATCAGGGACCAGTTGCTTCTCTCTCTCTCTCTCTCTCTCTGATTTAGGGTTTAGTGTTTAGGGTTGCAAGGCAGGGAAAAGGGGAAGTGGTGGAGCTTGCTTGGAAGGCTACGTAGACAAACACCATGAAGCGAAGCACCCGAACATGCCAAACCCAGCCCGTCGACCCGAAACCCTCTGAGCCCCCCGAACCCTCCAAACCACTAGAACTCTCTGAACACGTTAAACCCCTAAACATCAGAATCTCAACCTTGAATCGACGTAACCCACTCCGAGGAACGGACCTCCATTTCCCTGGCCATGTGTAGAGCCCTGCTCCACCTCACACTGCGCCCTATACTGCATCCTGCGATGATCCCTCTGATAAGGGTTACAATGAGGGTTATACTAAAATTACAAGGTTACATAAAGGGTTGCTAGAAGGCTCGTACGGTTAATATCCCTGAACCCTAAAACCTAATCCCAGTATCCCAGTCACGGCATACCTGATACCACATTACGGATATGTGAGGATATTGCTGAAGACATTGTCACTGTCTCGGACTGCATTTCACTGATGAACAATTCCAAGGGGAAAAGGAGGGACCCTTAATAAGGACCCCCACGTATATACCCTTAATATAGCCATTATATACCCATTATATAGCCCATTATATGGTTTTTGGGTCCCCATTAAGGGTCCCTCCTTTTCCCCTTTGAACAATTGTTTCTGCAAGGATATCTGCTCAATTGGACAACGCTAGATACTTTCGGCAACAACATGACCCTTTCTGCTACCTTTGGTTAGTAGGGAATGGAAGAATGGTAGTAATAATAGTTATAATTGCACCCCATTGCTCCATTCCCTACTAACCAAAGGTAAGTTCTGCTACATAGCACTGCGGGACACCACGGTACAGCCTACCCAGGCATGGCCTACAGTGTAGAAGCACGAGGCTTCACTAGTTTGCGGCACATTACACTGGAGCGCTTTGTCTAGAGTCTAGTCCCTATAGAACGCAAGCACTGGAGTACATGAAGCAGAGTCGGAGCTCTCATATCTTCATGCGACAGCGGAGCTGTTCTAACCTACGATGCCTGTGATGTGAAGATGCACCTTTCTAGATTTAGGAGTCCAGAAAATAGAGGACCCTGATATAGTACCCGAAATAGCAGGATCTTATATTACAAGGATTACAAGGATTCCAAAATCATATATTTCCCCCCTTGTTTTTGTTTTCGGAAGCTCCGATTTTGCAGCTCAACCATCTTGTGCTTCACATCCCAGATCCTCGGCCTAACATAGGGGCCTGAATAATGACCAATACATTTTTTTTGGGGGGGTGGGTGCTATTATATACAACTACAGTATACAGTACTAAACTTAAACAGTATACACTACTAAACTCAAAACCCTATTCCAATTATTAGGGCCCCTATACGAGACTGGGCTGATGCAGCAGTGTTGCTCAGAGCCAGCGGCTAAAGCAGCCACGGCTGCGCCCAGGCACACGACGTCACAGCGGATCTGAACTGAGGGCTTCGTGTCTTGGGGCAGGGTTCACTTTCTCCGGTTCAGGGAGCCTGGTGTGTAGATGTCTCGGCTGAACTATGTGTCGCAAAACAGGGCTGAGAGTTACAAAAGTTTGACTGACACAGAAGCCATACAGAAGCCTTCGAAACACGATCCTCGTACCCAAACCCCGCCTGCAGCAATTCAAAATAACTTTCCGAGCATAGACTACATCCGCCAACCAACGACCTCAAGCTGAATTCTCTGAGTTATAGAAACCCTTATAGTGACCCTCATAGTTACCCTTCTTATACAGTAGTAATCCTTATAATACCCTTACAGTTACCCTCATTCTAGAGGAGGCATGGGCCTGGGAAGTCGTCATCGTTTCCACAAGTGCCACCGCTGACTGCCAGGCCTCTTGGCACCGGTTGCTTCCACGGGTCTTTAGCTTACAGGGAACTCCAGAAAGTTGGAATATGGTTTCATGGTAGGATACCCTATAATTTACCATAGAGGGGTTAGGATTCTTATATTCCAACTTTCTGGCTTTTACTTTAGGCCTAGGCTGAATACCCTAGCCCAAAAAAGGATAGCCGTTTCATGGTAGGATTATATGGGAGTTTCCGAAAATTAGGGGAACCTTATTTCGGGGTCCTTATAGTAAGGATCCTACTATTTAGGGTGCTACATTAGGGTCCCCTGTGTTCGGAAAACCCCATTTGAACCCCAAAAGGGTGAAGATTACCGCTTCTAGAGCTCTCCCCTTCTCTAAAGAGTCTCCGCTTCTAAAGCTCCCTGTCTCTAGAGCCCTTCCTTCTCTAAAGCCTCTCCGCTTCTAGAGCCCTCTCCTTCGCTAGAGCATTTCCTACTCAGCCACTAAGTCAGGGTCTATCGGCCTCGGGCTTAGAGACTGAGCTCGCGCATGGAGTCCTTTAGGGTTTAGGGCTCTACGGTTGCGGGTTTAGGGCTCTAGGACTCCAGGGTTTCGGGTTGAGTGCTTTAGGGTTCAGGGCTCTAGGGTTTAGGGTTTAGGGCTTAGGTGCTTTGGGGTTTAAGGTTTCGGGGGGGGGGAATGTTCATGCAGAAGATGTTGCCATCCACAATACAATTTTACAAACCGCCGGTGTCAGTAGCTCTTCAATTCAAGACTTAGCGGCTCAGCGGAGACACGGTGCCATGAATACCTTCCCCCAAACGACCCGTGTCTGATGAGGAAAAACGCACATGGTGTGTTCTGGGTGGTCATGACTTGGATTCGTGGACTGGTCTGTTCCAGTTCAAGGATCACTCCCAGAACTGCCAAGTTGTTCTCTTCGTTCCCGTACATTCTCGAATGGAATGCAGAAAACGTTCGGGCAGTAACACCAAGAATATGGCTTCGTGATATGTCATACTATGTCCGTGTGATATACTCAAACCACAAAACCCAATTCCAATTATGCGCTAATGCTATGCAGATGAAGATAGGTCGTGCTTCATTGGCCAGGGCTTGCACATATCCAGCCACCTATCTGGGCCTGGTCCCAGTCACTGGACCTCTAAATGGACTCTATCATAGGGGACTCTGTGGTACCGTTTATGGGACCTAATGTGAGGCAAATCAGACGATCAGGATTCTACGACCCAATAGCTTGCGACTGTAACCCTAAACCCGAAACCAGAATCTTAAGAGGCCCCATGACAGTCCCTTCTGAATCTTAAAGCCCTGAAATAAGTGGTCCAAGAAGCTGCTGACTTCTCGCATGCACTAATGGCTGCGCTACAGCCTCGGAAGCAACACCCTCAGGGTCCAAGTAATAGAGTTGTATATACTGTTGTGGGCAAAATACCTACTACGTAAGTACCTACTACAATGGTACTTGGACGCTTTGGGACACTGCGGGACACTCCACATGCTTATTGGGAGACTGCGGCGCGAATGCAACATGTGGTGCGGGTAGTATGCTCAAGATGGGATCTGCCCAGTGCCCAGATTCATGGCTAGCGAATGCATACGATTTGTTAAGATCAAATTGCTTGCCCAATCACATCGAGTCCGAATAAACTGCATGCTTGATAGCATAGTAAAGCATCTGAGGAATATTTATGCCGGGAAGTTAAAATAATCTCGCCAAACGGACACTGACGGAGCATGTCCTTCAGCATCCCCGTATGTCCGGGTGGACTACCAAGGTGCTGATGACATCACGCTGCACGCCCCGGTCGTCCATGTCCTGTCAAGCTGGATGCTTACTACTCCGGGTAGTATACTGTGGTATAAAGACATATTATGATTTCCTATCACATACAAGAACACATTATTTTTGATGTACCGTGATATACGACAACATACTACAAAATACTACTGAACTGTAACATACTATTTCTGGTCCGGCGGCCGGAGGCCCTGGTGTTTGTCTATTCTGAAGCACATCGCGGCACAAGCAATGCAAGCGATAAGCTGTGTTGCTTGCAAGCCATGGCATGTCACTGGTCCGCACAATATTATGTATATATATATATATATATATATATATATACATGTAGGTATGGATATTTATATACAAGTAATTGTTTTTTGATTTTTTATATACCAGCTTCCCACCCTCAACCCGGCATGGTTTAGGGTTAGGGCCTTTTAGGGTTGTGGGTTTAGGGTTTGGGGTTTCAGGGTCTCGGGTTTAGGGTATAGGATTTTGGGTACATAGGTGATTCCCATTGCACCCGTTGAACGGATTATATAGGTCGCCTGCAGCAGGAGCAGCGCCAGAAGCCACTGCGAGCCCCGCTCGCAAGCACTCAGAGCTGCACCAAACGAAAACCTCGCATCCACTTCGAGGGATCATGCAGTGTGCACTTGAGGCACAAGAACTCTGACCTCGCTGAGGTGTCAGGGCCTACATACTCATTACGATACTGCAGTCATAGCCGGAGTTCGGGTCCCCGGTACCGTGACCTGCTGCGATGGTGGGTTTAGGGTTTAGGGTTTGGGGTTTAGGGTTAGCGCTTGTACTTCGTGTGCATGCGCAAACACATGGCAGAATGCAGCTGCGAGCATCGGCAGACATGATGCAGAATGCAATTCGGTGCACCCACCCGTCTCAGACGCCATGGAGGTCTCCCAGAGGCATGTGCTGTACAGAGGAGCTATATACTTCCATGCCATTGGATCACAAGTGGGCCAAGCAAAACATCCGAGAATCTTCGGATTGGTCTGTCTTTGGCGACTGTCGCCGGTTTAGAGATTATTGCGAACATGCAGGAGGACGTCCCATTCGCAGTTATAGCGGCCTGAGTATTAGAATAGGATTAGGGGGTGTATAATGCAAAAAAAATTCAGGCACCCAATGGAACGGTATTGCAAACGTTTACCGGCCAGTACTCATTCCGGTTGCGCCTTGCTGCAAACAGGAACTCCCTTGTCATCTTCGTCACGTACTGGTGTATCCCACCTCCGGACGTCCTGGGAACAAGGCCCTGCCTCGCAGAGTCATGTGAATGTGCCAGGTAGGCAACACTTGCCAACACTCTTGGCTAGTGCTTCTGGGCACCAAATGATGTAGAAAACTGCTCAACTTGAGGCACAACCCGACACAACTCAGCACAATGAAGGGCTTTAGGGCTGAAGGTTGTTTGTTCCGTCGTGGCTGGCTCATGGCATGCTTGAAGGCTTCATTGAAGAGGTGCGCCCTCTATAGCCATGGAAAGATGCAAATGTGGATTTGAGGGCGATCGCTGATTCTGGGCTTCAGGCGCGGCTCTCTCTGAGAGCAATGTTCGTGGACGAGTTGCATCTATCGAGACTTGCCATCAGGGCAAGATCAAATTTCTGTGTTACGACATCATTGCGACAAGGAAACCAAATGTGTCGGAGAGCTCTTCTGAAGCCCAAAGACTTGCTGGGAAAAGGCCATCGCCCGGTGAATCAAACAGTGATGTGATCACGAGCTCCTGAATTAAGAGTAGCGTCTTCAGGCTGTACGTAAAGGCTTACCGTCTAGATTCGTTTTCGGCTATATAATATACTATAATATGGTATAAGATAAGATAGTATACTACAATATACTATAGTATACTATATTATTATACTAATTACATAATAATCATCAGTTACTATGGCTACGTACCATGGGGAAGAAGATTGATGTCCAAGCTGTTCAGGAAGCGAGCTGTGGTAGATTCTGAAGGCTGTCGGATCCCTCGGGAAGGGTCAGAGCTTCTTCGGCCGCACCGGCGGAGGGCGGCGGCACCCTCAGCTTTAGGGTCGCCTCGAAGCCCACATTTCCAACCACCATCACGAGGCGTGAAGACATCTTGTCTTCCTGGTCTGCATGCCCATACACTGCCCCACACCCCAAGATACAATCAGCTACGTTATGTTACAGTGAAGAGAACGATGAATACGTAACAGTAGCTTAGAATGCCATACACGGACAATGGACGGGAAAACCACTTCCATGCGATGAGCGAACTTTGGGGCTGCCAAACCGGTCTGGATGAATTCATGATATTGACTGGAAATGGAAAACGAGCAGAGAGCAGAAGCAGTATGACCTGGAACCACATGCCATATAAGTCATGCGAAAAAAGAGCCTTGGACTTGTGCTGATATAACACGACATTTAGGCTTGACACCGGAACATCCACCCCTAAACCCTAAACCCGAAACCTTGTTTCAGTCGAAGTAAGCCAAGCATCAGCAATGCCCACGCGAAAGCTCAGGGCGACGCTCTTCAGAAGGCTAGCTTGGCCTGGATAGCAGGAACTGTATGAGAGCTATAGTACGGTTTAGGGTTTAGGTTATAGCTACCTCGATGGTGTTGGATTCGATGATGGAGATGGCGACGATCAGTGTTGGCCCCTCTGCCAATACTGTATCGTGATGGCAGTGATAGTAGTAGTTTAGTCGTAGTCGCGGCAGTAGCATCTGCAGTAGCAAGAGCAGTAGCAGCAGCAGGAGCATCAGCAGTAGCAGTAGCAGAATCAATAGTGTCGAAATAGTCGACGGTGTTTATGGCAGTCAAGTCATAAGCATCGGTCGCCTAGCGCTCCCATCATGGCATAGCCGTCGGTGTCCAGCCAGCCAAGGAAGACGCCGGCAGACACCCCCACGCCGGTGTAGACCTGAAGTGGGAAATGTGGTGGTGCATTTGCTGAAACCAAGAGGACGCCCCACTGTGTACTCAATCTATATGAGCTGCGAAAACTTCCGGCTGCGCTGTGCCGGGAGCCATTTTGTTTGCCCTCATGCTGAAATCGTTTAAACCCTAAACCCTAAACCGACTCTGTCTAGGAGTGGCGAGGATTCTTGCTTTGTGAACTTCTACAAACCGAGCTTCGGGATTTTGGTGTTGGCCTGCCGTGGCCCTGCAGGACCTCTGAACTTCCCAAGTCTACGACAGCCCCACTGCTGCGACCCTTTGACACATATGTAAAGGTGCATATGTATACGTATATATATATATACATATACACACATAGTTAGAGTGTAGTTATGTGTATATATGTATATATGTACATGTCTATAGAGCTACTAATAAATATAGTTTATATCGTGTGTATATGGGTGTGTATACAGATGTATGCTTATGCGCGTATATGCGTACTACTAGCAATTGACTGGTTGCCAAGGAAGGTTTTGAAGTACTGGACGGCAGTCTCCAACGATTGCTCGGGAGCAGACCACTGCATCTCACTGCGTGCCCAGGAGCATAGAGGGTGCCCCGCACAGACTCGACGATGTCGCTCGTCACATCGGCGCCGATAAGCTGCACGATTTCTGCTGCCACATGTGGAATGGCTGCCACGATGTCCTAGCCCACAGTCTCACTATTTAGGCCCCTATAGTAGTGCTGAACTTTTTCTAAGACACTATGTACGAGTTTGGCCATAGACTATGGCCTGCAGAGCTCATCACACCAGGCCTCATATATAGTTGTTGTAAGCCACTGCACACACGCACTGTTGTATATACCCGTCCAAGTGTTTACAAGCAGCGCAATACCATTAGGCAACTACGCACTTTTCCTGTAAGAGCACTTGTGCCACAATGCCGTACACACAACATGCTACTTCACACGTGCACAAATTACACCCCCCTCGCCGAAGCGTCAGTCTGAGGCGCAAACATGCACGGAAGCTTGGTGCTGTGTGGCCTGCCGTAAAGGCGGCTGGATTGTGGCTCGGGGCTCATAGTCTTTCTACTACCGTAAAGCGGAAGATACGGAAGCAGATTAATTCTTTTAGCGCGCAGTTTAAAGTCGCGACATGCATTATAAAATGGCGACGATCCAGCAAGCCTTGAATGATGGCGTGGATACGAGTCGCAAGACATGTGCAGCATGGGACGAATACATCATCCACTGGAGCTGCTGACGAATCCCCTCGAGGTCCAAAGACCTGGTGTCGGAGTTGTCACAAAGTGACTGCCAGATGATGCAAGATGAAATTTTTCTGGTCTTAAGGAAATTCGGCCACCTCTAAGAGGGGCTGTATTTCGGAGTACCGGTTAACGTGACGGAACCACGAAATGTGGGTCAGGTACTTAGTACCATCCCCGGGAACCGGAGGAGCGGCCATAGGGGTGGGATCCTCGCTGGTAGCCTCGATCCCATCCCTGCTCCTGGTAGCGCTGCTGCTCTGCTCTGCGGGCATCAGCTTTGGCTTGCGCGATGCGAGAGCGTTCAGCGTTGCGCTGTCGCTCTTCGTATGCACGGCGTGCAATTCCGACCTGTTCCGCGAATTTCTCACGGAGCCACTCGGTCCAGTCCTCAGCAGAATAGCCGAGTCTTGGATCAACATAGAGTGCCTCTTCTGAGAAAGTAACAATCATCTTCACAATTTTGTGCTGGAGGAAAACATCTACGAATTTACGCAAACTGTATGCCCCTCCCAGCCACATGATGCAAAACGGATCGTCACTCACTGCGGAGATCAGGCCTGCCCTAAGGGCGGCTGGATTGCAGTCGTGCAGGTAGAGCAACCGAGCGATCTCCTGGTTCCGTGGCCCTTCGGAGCTTCCACCATAGGTCCCGACAGCTAGCTGTCGTTGCTCCTTTGAACGGCCATGGTTCGGCAAGGCAGCATGCGTAAGCACGTCCTCGATGGCCAGAAACTCTCGATCGTACCCATTGCCGATGGAACTCATTGTGTAGTCCACATCGTTATCGAACCGGTGTACGATGCTTGTGTAGCCTCCTTTTGTAGCAATCTTGAGCTGCTGCCGGGCTTTGTCCAGCGCCTCTGCGTCGAGCGATGTCGTTCCCCGCTGTGTTGAAGAATCTCTGGTCATTTCATGAATGACCTCCTCCGGTGTAAGCTGGGAACGTGGCTTGCCCGCAGCGGCGGCGGCTGCCTCTTCAGCGAACCAGCGAGCCGAACGCGCTTTCTTGCGTGCGTTCTGCTGAGAAGGCTTCACGATGTGCACGCCACAGCTCAAGCATATCATCTGTCCCACAAGGTGTTGAGTACCGCAGTGGGGACATGCCCTGTGGCGGCCACCCGTAACGGGGGCTGGAGGGAGAGCCAAAGGAGTCGATTCCGGCTGAGGCGGTGCCTGCTCGAACATCGGCTCGATCTTAATCTCCTCCTCCTTTTTCACATCTCCTTCTTCAGGCTCGATCTCGATCTCGACTTCAACGGGATCTTCCGGCTCGAGGAAACGGACACGCTTTCTGGATTCAGTCGGTGCCTCCGGTGGAGAAGCACCCCCCTGGTCCAATGTTGTGGTTTCCTCCGGAAGGAAGTCGGATGCTGTGGCGTCGTTGAGTGCAAGAGGTTCTGGCGATGATGCTGGTGGTGCCACCTCAACCTCAACTTCGACCATAGGCTCGTCTGCTGTTGCAGACGCTGCTGTCTCGACCTCTTCATGGCCACCACTAAGTGGGGCTGAAGGTTCCTCCGGTACATCGGGGAACTGTTCCGGCTCAGCTGCTCCAGGATCGACAATGGGATCCTGGGCAGTTTCCGGGATGATGGTGTCCTCTTCCTCGCTGGACTGTCGCGACCACAGAATGATGCCTTTGATCGTGTCCCTGATGTAGAGCACACAAGATCCTGGCACTGGGTCGCGCGTGAGTATGCCTTCGGAAGTTGTTTCAAACAGGTAGGCATAGCGGTTCACCTCCTGAGTGTCGAGAACAACTTCATAAGGAAGGTTTGCTCGGCTGCCAGCTTTATTCTCAAGCTCGCTCAGCGTGGCCTTCGCGAAGTAGTTGTGAAACTTCCCGCTCCGGTTGAAGCCAGCTGTGAAGCCAGTAGAGAGAATATTGAAAGCTGAATCGTGCGTGGTTCGATGATACAGGCGTGGGGGAAACTCCCCAAGAGCAAGGAATGGCCTGCCTTGATAGGCGGCTGTAGGACCAAGCTCCTCACGCGTCTCGTTCGTGAACCAATGCAGAGCAATCGAGGAATCAGTCACCTGATCTTTGATGCGTTCGCTGTGACCGTGCGACGCACAAATCCACGACGGCCAAATGTCCGTCTCGACGAAGTCAGCACGTGGATCGGTGGGGAGGCCTGCCAAGTTAAACCTCGATTTGTTATCGTAGGCGACTATGGACAAGATACCTCGAGTTCCCAGATCCACACGGTGCTTCTTCCACATGTGCTGAATGAGGTCTTGGATGCGTACCCATTTGCCTCGCCGTGAGCTGAGCTTCACGTTCGACCCTCGGACAGCACCTGTGAGGTAGCGCTCAACATAGGGTTTGAGGCCTAACTCAGGGAGGTGGTCCTTCGGGATCGAATCGGGGAGGATCTGAACGATCTCGCTCCCCTCAGGATCCTCCGGACACACATCTTCATCGACGAAGCCACACATCTCCATCAGGTCCAAGTCGTCTTGGAATTTCACCCCAATGTAGTCGTGTGGGCGAGCCCTTAAAAGGCCGCTGGAAGGGTCCCGGTCCTTCTTGGTCATGCCCTCTTTCGCAGCAGACAGAGTACGGTGTGACTCAGTGCGATAAGGGATGGCCTCGATGACATCGTCAAAGGACACCTCCGGTACGTCGCGAGATGATGCACTGCCAGATAGGCCACCACTAAGTGGGGCTGGATCCTTTCGCTCAGCACGGGCACGTGCTTCCGCCTGCTCTTTTGCACGCTTTTGCGCCTGTTCGCGAGCTGTGGCCCATTCCCAATTCAGGACATCCTGAGGTACCTCACGCATTCCAGTGACCGGGAGATCAGGTGGAGGAACATAAGGGGATTCCCATGGGTCAGGGCATTCATTTGCAGCTTCGCGAATCTCGGCCTGCCTTAAAAGGCGGCGGGAGAGCTGGGACCGATACAGCGCCTTGTCGAAGACATACTGCATGGAATATACCCGCGTTCCTTCTGGGTCGAAGGGGAAACGGCGGGCCAGCTCATCCAGCGTCTCTGAGGGCATCTTTGCGAATAAGTGGTCAGCTTGACACACTTTAATCCGCTGCCCGATAACAGAGGCCAAGGCTGCGCGATGCGTAGAGTCCTCGCGGAAGTGGTAGTGGTCGTGCTTTGGGATCTGGCATACGCTTTCTTTGAGCGAAGCGGTGTATAACCCCCTGCTCCTTGCGTATCCGAGGAATTTTCGGATAGCTGTTCTGTATTCCGCTGGCAGCCCATAGTCCAGTGGGTCGGCATCCGAGAGGATTTGTATCGACCCAACTGTTGGCCTGCCCTGAAGGGCGGCTAGACGGCCGATTTCACCGCACACACGTGCGGCAATGTCCGCCCAGATCCCTTCCGCGGCAACGCCTTCAGGACCAATCTGCCAGTGTGGCGTTCCTGGGTCGACGAAGACACCTCTGCGACCGCACAGTTCGTTGCCCATCCACACAACAACGATATCGACCTCGAGATGCAAGGGATTTAACGATTCGTTGATGATCTGCGGCAAGAGCGTGTGAACTGCCTCAACGATCGAGTGGAGGTTGCCTCCCCAAATCGCCTTTTGCCGGACATTCGTGTATTGCTGAAGGATCTGACCAGGCCCCGTCAGAGCTTTAAAGTCTTCCGCCATGTCAACGAATGTTCTCGCCCCAGCCTTGAAAATGAGGGTAGAGTCGGAAACAATGATGCAGGCTTTTTCTCGGCCACGGCTATCGCCGGGCTGGAAACGCGACAACCCCTCGTCGTTGATCCGTGCCACCTTAGGGAGGGCCTTATAGCCATGATCAACATCTCCCAGACACGTAGACAAAGCGGTTTGCGCGATTGCGCCTGTGTAGAGCTGTTTCACGCTCTCTTCCCAGTCACGGTCTGGGTTGAGTCCGAGCTCGTGTCCGAAGACACCGGCCCACATATGGTAGTGAGCCCACTCCCGCTTGATTGAGTCACCCGATGCGGCAATCGTCGCTGGCGCCGACGGCTTGTTCTCGCCTTCTGCTCGCACTCGGGGATCACTAATCATCTCTGGCGTGCTCTGATGAGCCGCTGCACAGGGGCAGGCAAGCACCTTCCTAAAGTTCGCAAGATTAGCAAGATGTGAAGATGTGAAATCCTCTAAATCATCATGATCTGCGACTTCGTGCTTGTAAGATGCCTTAGCGATCAGATGCTGGTTTCCTGAGCGGAAGCTTTCCTTAGCAAAGTTCGCAAGTGGCAATGCCTGGAGCCCTGCGCACACCAGATATGCGTTTTCAAGTCGTGCAACTTCGGCATTAATTCCGTCGAACATGAATTCGTCGACGGGCCCACACAAGAGAACACAGAAGTTACTGGAAAACAAGTGAGCCAATTCACCAATCTCAACAAGACTCCTTTGTAACCTCCTCAAGTCACCTTTAGAGAGCGATGTCATCACCACCGTGACAAGCGAAAGTGAAGTGATAAT